TCGTTCTATTTGGGACATATTAGCTGGATGTACCTGTATCTAAGGTCAGATGTTTGGATAATCGAAACAAAGAATACTAATTCACCCATTCCACAAGCAAGTGTCTATCAGGACTCACTAGTGTGGAGATAGAACCTTAAAAACCTATTTTGTAAATAATTTTTCATAGTTTTCGCATGTATTTTCATATTTTGTACATTAAGCATTAAACAATTGTACTTGTTGTTTAACTGTATTACTTTGAACGCTTGTAACACTCCTTCCTTCCGTTTTGAGTACAACATACCGTGCCACTGTTAATTCTCCTCAACAAATACACTCTAATTCACGTCTGCATCGTTCTGCCCTGTCTGCTAATATGTTGAATGAAATATTAATTGCATACCATCTACGTTTATAGACAATTGCGACATTCTTATTGAATTCTACGCTTGGTAAAACTACTGGCTCTATATCGTCCATATTGGGATTATTAATTTTGTTATAATTGTGGAGTATCTGGACCAAACCCAGCCGAACACGCAATAGCCTGAAGACTTAAGTAACGTCCCTTATTTTGTTATTTTTGTGTGTAATTAACTTATTAACTGTTAATTGTTACATAAACTATAGACATAATATTTTTGTTGCTAAATTTTTTGGTTATCAAACATTTTGGTCCGCCACACTAGCTAAGTAGATAACGTGATGGCGTTTGAAGCGAAAGATACAGGGTTCGATTTCGAGAGTGAGCATCAACTCTGAGATGCAGGTACATCCAGCTGACGAGTCCTAAATAGGACGAAGCTCGTGTCTTGGATTTCACTTCTAGTCACTATCTATGTTTGTCTAGAAAAAGTTCATAGTTATATTCAATTGTCAATTGAATAAAATCAGCCAGTCACTACACAGAACGTCGTACATATGTACATCAGTTCAAGTTGTCATACCACATTAGCATAGAGATGCAGTTGTCGATTCATATCCCATAGTGGTAAAAGTAGTAGTAAGAGTATAAGCAGCAATGTAATAAAGAATACCTCTAATTATGGAACAGGTATTTGAATGTATCGTTTGAATTCAATCTTATTCTTTATATATAAAGCAACTAATTCACATATACATACGTACAAAACTATTTTGATCTATATAATAATATAATCCTTTGAAAACCCCATTACTTTTTATTCTTTCACCATGACTACAAAACTTTTCAACATTTAAGCAGAGAAAAGCTAGATCTGGGAACTTATATATCACGCAATATCATATTTTGTAGAAAGGGGAAAAAAAGAAGTCCAGTTTTATCCTCCTTTTTTTTACTTATTTTTGTTTTAACTGATTTGTGGCGGTTAGTTTGTATTTCGCTTACTTCTATTCGGTTTAATAAATGAATCAAATTTCAATTTTTTTGGCATCTGTTTTCAATATCGCGGGGGTTATAAAATAAAGCAAGAAAGTTACAAAAGAAAGAGATTAGGCTAATTAATTGTGTCACAAAAAAAAGATTCAATTTCATAGTTTCAAATGGTTTAACATAGAAAAATAGTTATTTCATGTATGAAATAATCAAATGGTAAAACATGTTTTGTATTCAGTTAATTAACTTACATTGAAATTCTGGATGAGAAGTTTTGTCCTAGTATAAAACGTTTCAGGAAATACTATTCATGATTACATAATCAAGGCCCCCGAATGTTATGGTACAGTCGACAGTGCGGAGAGTCTACTCCATCTTCAATGACGCTTTCATATGGACACGAGTAAATAGTCACTGTCAAGAAAGTCCTACTCACTGCCTTCTGGTGGTATTATTGTTGTTTACGAAATTGAGAGGACGAAAATGAAATTTTTGGCGGTTTAACCGGGTTGGTGGATATAGAAGATCCACCTCACTTATTTATTTGTTTACCCCTGTTACCCGCTGTAAAGGCTTGACTCCTGAACTACAGCTGGTAACCAATCAGTTACATATAAAAATTTAGTCACTTCAAGTTCTTGTGAGAAACTGTGATTAATGGTGTTAAAGGATGTTGGATAAAAGAAAGGCATTCACTCCAGGCAATCGAGTGTATTCAAGCAGAGTGATCAACAATTTTTTTTGACCAAGTCGAAATAAACCTATTTCCCCATAAAAACAACATTACCAACTAATTAGAAAAATTGGAAATCCTTAAATATTGTTTGAAATTAAGAAACGAAATTAATACTTAAATTCACTTAGTATTGTTTGTTTGAATCTTCTCATTGATGTTTAAGGACTGAAACTGGTCAGTTTCTAAATGGCATATGTACATACTATGAGTATTGTTTCGATATAGTCTAAATTCACAAGCATGGTAATCAAAGATGAATGACGAGACTCAAATAGGACGAAACTGGCGTCCTGGATTCCACCGCTAGCCACTATCCAAATTGATACTTATTAAAAGAAGACACTAAATAGTAATAATTACTGATGTCAGCTGTATAGACTAACTTATTTTTAATGTTTAACATAATTCTAATATGACACATTGTTGAAAAAAGTTTATCTTTGCTTCATCAAAAAAAACAAACAAACTTGGCAAACATGCAAATGTAATATAAAATTTCTTGCACCAGTCAATACATAACTCATTGATAAAGTAAAAGATAAAAGTATTACGTAACATTATGACTATAGTAGGGGAACAGGTTAGTTTCTGGCAACCATACCACATTGGATAGAGTATATAGATATATAGATATATAATTTGACATCTTCCTTTCTACATTGTGCCTAACTACAAGGATACACGTGATATAAGCATAAATTAATGTTGTGTGGTAATATGGAAAGGAAGCCTTTTGACGTTTTCTGTCGTAATATACTATACCATTAATATTTTATTTAAATCAAAATATTCTACCTGACATAGAGATTAGTGTATTAGGGTAATTTATGATTAATAATAGTAGTAGTAATAATAATAACAGTAACTAACTGATTTCATATTTGAAGATGTAAATTCCATGATATTGTATACTCAGGCCTCCCTGAATATCATACTGAGTGACAATATCAACTTTTTGTATCCATTACATTCAGAAATATAATCAAAATTGTTGTGGTGTAGGCTACTTTTATCCATATAAGTAGTATATGGTTAGGGTCAGATATAGATTGTATTTGTCAAAATATCGATAAGGAAAGAACAGGAATGAAGCGCAATCGGTATAAAAATGCATAAACAATGAAGTCAGAGAAATTGTACTGATATTAGCAGAAGAATCAGTAAAGATTGAGACAAATGATTGTTATTTTGCAAATTAACTGTTTATTATATGGTTGTCAGAATTTAATGAGATAGTCTGTAGTTTGTGCTTGGATACATTCGATAGTCCCCACCTGTTTTCTTGTTCACTACATTATTATACAGAATAATGCATATAATTCAAAATAAATTAGTACATTGTATGTACTAAAGAAACCCTACTTTTAGTTCCTCCGTGGGCTAATGCCGGTCCCAAGCCCGGGTAAAGGAGGAGAGTTAGCGACCCCATGCCGTAAAATACCAACTCACTAAAAAATCGCCAACAAGAAAAAAATGTTCAAACCATTTCAATTCTGCCCTGGGAGTAGAAGGAATAATTATGACGTCTATTGATGAAAGCCGAGTTCCTTCGGAATTCATGAAGCCGATGCACCTGTATATATTACAGGCAGGTTACATCACTATGTACACATAATTAAAAAAACTATGGACAATCGATGAGTACTCAATATCTATTTCAATGGATGTCGAAATCAGTAATTTGAAATGTCGTGACAAGTGTGCGATCACAACAAAACATTTTCGACATCACTCAAATCAATGTATGATACACCTAACAACTATTTGACTAACTGTTATAATTGTAATTGGTTGAATTCAATTAGTCACCAATTTGCACATGTTCATTGTGGATTCTTCTCGTGAGTATTTAACTATTATTGGGATGAAAGATTTCTGCTGACTGTTCGACTTCAACTTGAAATCATGTTTACAACAGTCTTAAAATGTATGCAAATTATAATTTATTCAAATAATATAATGCAAGTAGATACTGAAAACCAAGTACAAAAGACAATTTTTTAACCAACAATATATGATCACCTTTGTCTTTTGAAAAGAACTTCTTGATAGTGAAACAAATCTTCTTCTACCAAACATAAGGGAACGAAGTGATTTAACATTTGTTTATATATAATAAATATATCAGAAGGGGTTTTTGTGGAGATTAAGTATTTTGATAGTGTACTATGAAAATAGTAAATCTCTACAAAAACCCCTTCTGATAATAATAATTTTGTGCTCACTAGTGACTGACTTCGAAAGATAAATCTAGGAGTTCTGGTGAGAAACAGTGATCAGTGGAGTTCAAACCACGTCTGTTGTGAGACAGAAACTCACTGAAGAAATTGGTGAACGGTAGCTCAACTTTATGGATTGGTTGAAGTTAGACATAAAAACCATTGGATGCGGTACAGTGGTCTATCGCTTAAGTGCTCTGGCGCGAGACTGGTAAGTCCTGAGTTCGAGTCTCGTGAGGTGAGGTCGTGGATGCGCACTGCTGAGGAGTCTCACGATCAGACGAAATGGCTATCCAATACTTCCAGGTTTTTCATGGTGGTTTAGCTTCAATTGACTCACGCTTTAAACTAATAAATGTATGTTTTTACCGTAAAAAAACGTGACTGTAAGCTGTACCGTAAAAATATTTGTATGAACAGTTATGGAATGAAGATGAATTAGTCTTCTATGATTTAATTATAGACGTAATCTACTTTCACCATAAGTCGTATCCTGAAAAATACGTTATCAGGTAAAATGTAGCCAAAAGGTGGGTTGATCACCCTGGAATTTTTTTTCATTTAGGAAGTCGACAAAATAGTGAGCTATGCATTATTATTTTCTCCTGATTCTATAGAACTTAGCAATAAGCTCTAATGATCTCATCAATTAATTAGTTTAGAAAAAGGAAACATCTTTTAAATAAGTATAATTGTATTCACTTACAAGTAACTTCCAACCGATAGTCACTTTTCACCCAGGTCATATCATTTAATTTCTTTCTCAATGAATTCCTTAATTGTCGACAATCTGATTCACATGTTGAATCTTTATTAGATAATACACCTTGTAATGAAGCAATTGTAATTTTCTCTAATAATTCAGGTGCTTCAACACCAACCCAACATCGGATACGTTTACGATGCATTGCTCGGTTCATTGTTAACTGTAGTATACTTGCATTCATTTGAATATCTATCAAATTGTGTTCATGTTTATCTTCAATGTTATTAGTTGACTCTAATTGATCATCGGTTAACAAATTGAATGTTTCGAAGTTAATAGAAGGAATTGGATTTCCGATTGTCCAACTTGATAAATGAGAAAATACATTTGAAATCAATCATCAAAAGTGTATTTGAAAAAGTGGACAAAACTAAATTTTTCTTTTCAAACATAAACGATCAATTTTTGTATATTTTTGGGCTTCATCAACTCATTGAACACAATTGGTGAACGGTTGCTTAACTTCGTGGATTGGTTGAAGTTAGACATTAACATCGTTGGATGCTGGTTCAGTGGTCTATCGCTTAAGTGTTCTTGCGCGAGACTAATAGGTCTTTAGTTCGAAACTCGCGAATGCTGAGGAGTCTCAATGATTTTCGTATATTTTTAGGCTTCATCTAGTTGTGTTTGCTTTATAAACAACTTGTCAGTTAAGTTTATATACAACCGCCTATCATTCTTCATATTGATAATGAAACTGAGTTCGAACAGATTCAAATATTTAATTTATCATCCATTTACATATCAGATGAACTTATGTGAAATGTATTCAAAGTAGCTGTCGTATCAAACAATTGCAGTTATTAGAGGTAATCAAATTACTATAGCAATAATGTCAAATCCTTAACTGTTATATCCCATGGAGTATTATGAATGGTAACTTTGAGAACTATTCATGGGCTAATATGACATGTATATTTCCTATTCTATAATTGTTAAGTAACTAAAATTTTCATATTAATGTTCCCTTTTTTTATGAGCTTTATTTTGACCCATAGACTATTACTGTACGATTTACCATTCCTAAATTATCCCCAGTCTATTAATTACTGTTCCCCTATTAACAGCCACATTCGGCCAAATCTTGTACAAATGTTGTTTTCTGTTTTATGGTACGATCTGGTCAGTTTGTTTGGTATATAAACCCAGTATCTTTTAGAATAATGATTTATATTGCACAGGCTGTTATTGGTGTTCTGGACTTAACTGGCTGAGCTAAGCATAAAGCAAGTCTGATAAGTACTCAAGACTGCTCATATGGTTTTCATGTATCACTGTTCTAATTGATAATTCACTCCTCTCTGATTGGCGGGAACCATCACGTTCGTATAGAAAACTGGGCACAGACGTACTCAATATAACATTAATTGATAATGGAATGGTACTGTGATGTGTGCATCCGATGTCAACAGATATAAGTAGTATGTAGCATCGATTGAAAGTGGAATGCTTGAAGCAGAATGTTAGGGAGATCAAAGAGAAGAGAACGAGAGCAGTGAGTTATTGATATAGAAATGAGGAAACGACAGATTTTGCGACAATCGATGGATATTTAACAAATGAAGTGTCTACTAAATAATTTATCAGATTTTACCAAGATATTCTGTAATCATGTATTAAATTACTGTGGGTTATCCCTGCCTGGGTTTTCGCTCACAAGAGTACTATTTATGAGTTATTTCTTGCTCCGTATCCGATAAGTTTTGTATCTCCGGATAACCTTGTCTGTCTGTGGCAAAAATATCTGTAATAGACATTTCACGAAAAATAAACAAAGTCATGTGACACAAAACACATTAAAAGTCAACAAAAGTCTACAGATTTAGGAATTAAGAATGATTCAGTATGTAAGCATAACAAACTAGTCATAGTTACTCTGCCATTGAAAACTAAGAAACACTAGACAGTTTCTTTACTATAAAATGAGACAGTCCAACTATAATCACCTAGTTGGAGATTATGGCTAGCAACCTCACAACTCACAGCTACAGTATAACCTGTAAACTACGGGTTTACTTTTCATACTTCAATCTTTTATGAGGTAAATTCTGCATACAAACCATAAAATTCAACAATCTATGAAATCTCTCCATAATAAAACCAAAATAATCCTGTTCAATCATTTTAAAAATTTGCCATTTTCAACCCGATGTTTCTATAAATTATTTGAAACCTGTTTACTGAGTGGACTTTCTTTACAAGTTCACTAATATATATACAGACCTATGAACTCCAACTTTGTGACGGAATAGTATATGGTTCTTTAGAGTGTGTCCTAAAGTTTTGGAATAATTTACAAGCAATTAATGACTCTCAAACTTGATCCGATTCTCACAATTCATTGATCACTGAGTGGTGATCAGTGTCATGCGTGTCAAGTCTTTCTTAGTGCTGATCGAATGCTATCGATCAAGTTGCAAGGTAGCTACTAGTCTAGGCGGCTCGACACTGCGTGCAATATGTTGAGATGAGATAGTGGTTCCTGTTGACCACCTTCAACCACCATCTTGGTCCAATTTTAGCAGACTCTCAAATTCAATGTTCCTCCATTGTTAGCCGCACAGGATGAATATTCATAAAAGAAACCTGATCGATTTCAGTTCTAACCATGAATGGGTATATTCAAACAACCAAAATACAAAAGAGTTCTATAAACTAGTAATCACTGAAAGTAAAGCTAATCACACTAACCTGTAAATTGGTGTTAATGGATTTGTTTTTGCTATACATTCAAAATGGATTAATTGACCTTCTCGTAAATTTACATGTTCTGTTTGATTAATAATTTGTATCTTAACATCCTCTATGTCTAGATGTTAGTAAGACGAATAAGATACAGAAGAAAAAAGGAAAGGTATATGAACCAAGTTAACTTGTAAATAAACAATCATTGTGTATTCAATAGATGGAGTTTATCTAGAAAATGGGATGCTTGGTGCTACACATCTCATAAAATCTGGTCACATATACTCTTTAATAGTTGAATTCATTAATCGATTAAATCTAGACCACCATGGAAAACTTAGAAGCTCTGGACGGCTGTTTCGTCCTAGTATGGAACTCCTCAGAAGTGTTATGATCAACTTGAATAAAAGTTCAGTCGATAAATCTGAAGTTATTTTTTTTTTAAAAAAAGTGGGAAAAACTCATACCATATGGAGAGAATAATAAAACGCATTAAACCACCTTAAGCTAGAATATGCTCTTCTTTGAACATATAAAACATGTTTGACCTCTATAAACTTAAGAATACACCATTGAGAATTTCTATATAAAGTTTTGAAAGCTGCTGTAAGATAGATTTTGTGACTTGTTTCCATTGCGTGTTTTGGAATGGAGAAGTTGACTTTCATAAATCACACAGTGTCGATTACTTGATTAATTCAAATAACCTGTGGTTGAGATCATTCAATTTTTATAATTTCCGTCATGGATTAATGTTAGTTAGACCACCATTGAAAACTATAAGTCAACAGGTATTTCTATTACCTTAATATGAGAATTCTCAGCAGTGCTGATCTACATGCTCGTCGGCGAGCTCTGTACAGAGAATCAAACCCAGGACCATCGATTTCTCAAACGGATTTTTTATTACATAGTCAATCAGAATTTGAATGTCATTTAAAATATATATTACGATTTCGAAATCGCTTTTCAGTTGTAAATTTTGATAAGTAACGCCATACAAGTTGATTCAACATCAATGAGACATTTGAACCATAGAGTTAATGTTCACTAAATGACAAGCTGATATGGTTTCCTTATGTGATCTATTCATAGAAACAAATCCATCGTAAACCCCTAGTACATTATCTGATAACATTAAGACTAACATTTGTGATTCCTGAAGATCCAATTGTTACCTTTTCAGCATAAATATTACAACATGTAAGTTAATTTAAATTTTACAAAATCTGGAAATTAAAAATAATAAAAAATCTTACACATTGAAATCATCAGTCTATTGAATCTAGACCACCATGGAAAACCTGGAAGCAGCCATCCAGTGCTTCTAGATTTTCCATGCTGGTCTAGCTTCAATAGACTAATGATTTCAATCATATAAAATTACTAAAATCTCCACAAAATCATCCATCTTACACATTGGTTCAATTGTAACTGTAACAGTCGGTAATTTCGCTGGAACAAAATCGTTTGAATTACTAACGCTACATTCGAGCTGCCAATGTTGATATTTTCTTTCAACTGTTAAAGTTAATTGACTTTGAGTTACTTGCCTAAAGTTCATAAAATTGAAAAAAAAAATTACAAAATAGTCAATGAGTTATCATGAATATTAAAGAGAAATAACATAATAGAAAAGGTCAATATTTTTATATGATTAATGGAGACTAGTATCTTACCGTGTAACATTTCAAAAACTTTTATACCAGTCTACATCATTCAGTCAGCTACAACGTAAGAGAAGGCACATATACGCATCGGTTCAAAGTACCACAACTCCTAGGCTCAACAGTACGATCATGCAGTTCGTAGAAGTAGTCAATTCAATGGTGTTAAAAAATTCCATATAAGGGTATGATACATAGAGAAAGAATAAGTTCGTAGAAAGAAAGGTATAAAGTAGTTTTGATTTCATAGTTTAAGAGAAGACAAAGATTGTATGCACCTACATCAATGTGATCGATTCTGAGCCATGTCACTCAGTCTCCAAACATTTGTTACGATAGTCACGTGGACCCCAACCAAGTAATCTGTATCTGCCGAAACGGCTAGGGCCAAAAGTTAGTAATGGACTGATGCTACGTTTTGGTTTGGCCACCCCTAACATTCTTCCAACCATCTCCAATCCATTTTGTCAATAATTTACATTCTATTTGTTTTGAGTGATTTTACCGAATAAACGTTGTTGATTAGCCAAAATCTCATATATCTAGTTCCAAGTTCTGATTATAACATTTTATTCAAGTTGAGCTATAGATACATGATCATATGGTTAGATATCATAGGTTGTAAGATTTTATTTTAGACAGTTGGAGTCAGCCGACACGATACAGAAGATCTAGGTGTCTGATGAACTTGTAATTATTGTCAGAGCGTATCTAAAATCTCTGAAGAACGTAATACGATCAACTTTACAGATCTTACAAATATAGAAAACATGATCCATATGTATAATTGATTCGAAAACAAAAGCAAATACTAATATGATATATATGACAGTAATTGTTTATGAATGGTTTATCTTATAAGTATGTCAACCTAGTTAATCCATGACATTTAAACACTCTTTATCAAGACATACCTGCCATATTGAGTGTCATATGAGCGATGATACGTTGGTAATTAACGAAATATTAACAATAGCACAAACCGGCTCCTCAACGTATGATATATTCTGTGCATTATCAGAGTTTACATTTGCGTATGCTCGAAAGAAACCTTATCTAAGAAACATTGCTCTCATTACTGGTAAGTCGAGTGATTTTTGACCAACTAGTGGTATTCTGCATATGCATCCATTATACGTGATAGAATAGACCGATTTAATGAATGACTAATAACAGCCAGATCACAATAGATGACCATTAGTTGGATCTGTTTGGAAATTGCAGACTTGTTGGTTACGGTATGCTAGAAGAATATAACCTATGTTTGGTTATAAGAATTAACATTGATAAAAGTGGCACAAATGATTCACTATTCATTAATTTTAAAGTTTTGAATATAACTTGATCTCAATTACCTAATCTAATCTGTTAATCTTCATAACTGATATTTTGTTAGCTTCACTATTGTGGTTTACCATTCTCCCAATTTTTATGCTAGTTACTGTGTTAATTTTCAATTTTATCATATTCATTCAGATTGTTGAAACTTATCCCTTAACAAATAAGTATCCAGTCTTACATCTCCTCGTGGATGCACACTTCTTAGGAGTCCCATACTCGGACGGAAACTGCCGTTTAGTGATACAAGGTTTTCAATAGTAGTCTAGCTTAGATCGACTCATGAATTCAATTATTAAAATTACCACAGTCTCTATAAATACCCATTCTGATGATAATAAAACTATCAAGAATTTATGAATACTTACATGTGGATGTCATCAGTTGAACTTGTTACTGATGTATTCGAATACAATACTGATTCAGCGTTAGATGAAAGTAATGATTTGTCTGAAACATTTATAATTTGTTCTTTTATTGTATAATGAATTAGTGAATTTTGGTGATCAGAAAATGAATTCGATTTACCGGAATTCTTATTCAACAATATACCAGCTAAATGCCATTGTATTGTACTCGTAGGCTTTGATGGTGATGTATGACAGGATACAATCAAGTTTTTCTTTTCTACAGTCCATATCTTAGGAATTCTGTTATACATATTACCTGTATAACTTGAAGATTCATGCCTAACTAACATTTCTTTCAATGGTATACTCTGTGATGTATATTGTGTATCCGATGCCTGTTTAAAATGATCCATATAATTTCTATTGTAATCAATGAAAAGTTCAGTTTTAGGATCATCAGCTACAATATGACTAAGATCTCTATCAACAATTTGATTCAATTCTTTTGTTGTATATACATGACGATTTACACTATGATCACTTACATAATTAGAGAAATGATTGTTAGGTAGTATATACATGGAATTAACAGTTACTGGTATCTGACGATTCTTTTCAAACTGACTATCTTGTAAATGAATCATAGTTAAACCTGATGGAGGAACTGAAATGTAGTAATAAAAAGAAATATCCATAAATGTAATGAAGATAAATACGGGAATTTTCAAACATTACTTTGGTATTCTAGTAGATAGGGATCAAATTCATCCTTCAGTAGGTGAGTTATTGCACATATATAACTTTTATTTCATCATTCAATTCACGTCACTATGTTCTCACAATGGTGGCTAACATGAACATTTTACGATCAAGTACTGTTTCAATACCTAAAGGTATATTATTCAAGTCATATCTCAAGCCTAAGATATGGTTAAGAAAATAAAAGAATAGAGAACGAGAACTGACAATGATTACTGTGGAGACGGAGGAACAATGAAGTCTGAGATGATTGACTGATATTTTGCAAATGAAGTATGTAATATATGATTCTCAGATTTTACTAAGATGCTCTGTAGTAAAATGCGTTCCATTGTCCCCACTTGAGTTCTCGTTCACTGAATAACTTAAGTAGGTGGTATGTTTAAATGTGAATTTAAAATCTAAATTACGGTCTCATTTGAGAAATACTATAAAATTCCTTTCTGTTAAATCAAATATCACGTAAATTAACTTTGTAAAACAGTTGACATTGGATATATGGAAATAAAACATTTATCTGAATGTTAAGCAGAGATGGATATTAGCTAACGATAGAATACAAAATGCATGTTTTGAATCGTCTTCTGAATCTACCTGCATCTCAGAGTTGATATTCACTCCATCACTACAATTCAGTATCGTTAGCTTTAAACATCATCTCGTTAACTACTTAGCAACTGAATCCAGATAGACAATGTTTTATGCCATGTGGTAAAATTCCCTTCATTCTTATTTCTACTCTGAATCTTCCCATTATGATGCTTATAAATTAATAAGAATATCAAAGCAAATTGAAAACGATACACATAGATCAAAACGAGACTGACCGATTTCAGTCATCAGTAACAATTGGACGATTCAAATAAACAATACAATAAGTTAGTAATGGCTTTTATTTATTTGATTTTTTATTAAACAATGTCCATTGTTTTATTGACCAATTTTGTGGTTAAACTGTATACGATGATAGAAGTATTTTGTCGCTTGAAGTTAACAACACTTAATGTACACTTAAATAAGAAAGTGATTATCTTTTATCCAAGTGTTAAACGACTTGCTTTTGTTACAAAGAATGATTACATAGATAAATATATCATGACAGAGTAACTACTTGGCACTATCTTCTATTACTAAATTCTTAAATTATTTAAAATAGAAATCTGGTAAGTATTTGGTTCGAGTCGTTTAACATTTGTTTCTTAACAACATTATTAATTCATTCACATGGTATTGTTTACTTGTATCTTCTGATTGTTGTTTAGGACTGCGATTGGTCGATCCCTTGTTGGTATATGTGCATATTGCGCTTATTGCCTCAATATTTCATCAATTCACAAGCTTTATAAGCAAAGATGGCTAGTGGCTAGCAGTGGAAATCAGTACGTGCGTTTCGTTCTACTTGGGACTCAGCAAGTGGATGTGCCTGCATCTTGGAGTTGAAGACGTTTGAGTCCTAGAGTGAGCATCAACTATGGGATGAAAGTACATTTATCCGATGGGTTCCAAATAGGACGAAACGCGCTTCCTGGCCTCCACCGTCAGCCACCATCCATTTTTGCTTATTATCAATTCTTGTTTAAAAAAACAACTGAACTCACAAAATGATTCTATCATTGAATAATAGTATGTTCTGTAAGTAATATTTATCTAAAATCATTTTATCAGTGTTTGTACATTTATAGTATTTGATCATTATGTGATCTAAAAAAAAGTTCATCAAAACCGTCACCTGTCCAGTTCAAGCTGGATAACAAACCTTCACCGCCATTTAGAAATATATTTGAAGAAATCATTTAATAATGTTTATAAGAATGTGCTTTAGGTATTGCTAGTCAGAACTAACTCTTATCACACTGCGATAACAAACTATCAAATGATCTTAATCAGAACTTGAATAATGATTGTACTAGATATTGGACTGTGATAGACAATAATCAGTTACAATAAAACGATATTTGTCAAATTCTACGTTACCAAAACAGTTCTGACAAGTTTGAGGAGAGTAACTTTGGAATTATACCATTCCAGTTGATGAATATATTGATGAAGAGAAGCTTATTTCAAACGATATACAGTTATTGAAAATAATAATAATAATGTAAAGAACTTCTATTAAAATTAAACTCAACTTACATATAATTGTTAGATAAGCTGGTTTACTAGTAATGGTATCTAATTGTGGTTCAATGCTTAAAGTGGAATAAATTTTCACATTAGCTTGACAAATAAAACTTGCTTCATCTTCAAGTTGAGTATTTTTGATCAATAAATCAAAATTTCCTGAAATTGTACAACATGGAGTGGAAAGTGGAAATTTTTCTTCATTCATAGGAAATTTTGTTATCTTAGTTCCAACAAATTATGTGTTAGGATACTTTTCAACTATATTTAAACAAAATGTTATCCTTACAATTGAATTAATGAGTTGATCTAAGTTTGATCATCATTGAAAACCTGGAAACACTGGACGACCATTTCGTCCAAGTATGAGGCTCCACAACAACGCTCATCCACGATTCTTAATGTAAGTCTGGAAGCAAGATATTCGATCTTCTGTGTGAACACTTAACCTCTAGACCAGTGAGTTTGTATTTAGTTGTGTTAATGTCTAACTTAAATCGATTCATCATCTTTCACAACCTTTCATTGATTGTTTGATTGACTCATAAATTCAATTATGAAAATACTACAATATGTTAAAACCCCTATACTGATAATGATATCACTTTAGTGATTAAAAACGGAATACCACCGAACGGTTTACCTGATGCATTTAATTGGATGTAGAGTTTGAAATAGTAAACAGAATTTTCAATAGTGGGTTCAACAGTTAACTTATGTCAATAATTAGATTCTTCTTTGAATTAATCATTAGGTGTTTTAGCTTCTTCACAGTGAATGTCTCAGTTTGTACGTTTTTAAAAAAAATTTCAATTTACATTGTTTAGAGTTGAGTGTATTCAAAGACGTTTGGATATTATTATTTATTATTAGATTTACTCAATACATTTCTGGCACCAAACAGAATTCTCCGCATAAAAGCATTTCTACAAGTTACTGTTTCTTAATTCTTAGTTGATACTGACGGCAAATATTGAGTAGTCGCCAGTTAAAAACTAGCAGTACAGTAAATCAACATCTAAATAATGTACATTCTTTTCACTTCATAATGCTAGGGAACACGATATCTCTGATTGAGCATTTTGTAACTTGTACAACGAAATGTTGTACACTTTTCAAAAACACACCCGAAAAGATTGTGTGAATAATATTCATAATGATGTATTAAAACAAACAAAATTAGATAACCATGGAAAACCTGGAAACACTGGACGGCCGTTTCGTTCTATTGTGGGGCTCCTCAGTAGTGAGTATTCTCGATCCCACCTTGCAAGATTCGAAACCAGGACCTATCAGTCTCGCGACAGAGCGCTTAACCACTAGACTACTGAGCCGATATCCAATTGTGGTAATGTCTAACTTCAACTAATCCACGAAGTTGAACAACCATTTCATCAATTTTCATCAGTGAGTTGATGTCTAGCTTCAACTGACTTATGAATTCAACTATGAAAAATACTGAAATCTTCATAAAACTCCCTTCTATTTAATAATTATGAAATTATTAAAGTCTATTAATTCAATTAAGTCAATTGTAATGTTTATAGTATGTTACAACTTGTATATATGCGTTTGCGGATAATATACTTTTGATATATCGACTTGGTTTTACTATCTAAACCTACTTTAAATTGTATATTCAATAACTGTTTTACTATGGAAGGAGACATGTCAAAGATGCAAACTAACATGTCTGCTCTATTATGATTATGCGGCTTTGTTTTATAAAAAGAAAAGGACGTACGTAAATGACATTTATGATGTGGTCTACTTATATCCATATAAGTAGTATATGGTGTGGGTCAGACATGGAATGTATTTTGGCAGAAGACCGATGAGGAAAGAACTGAAATGAAAATGCATGAGCAATGGAATAAGAGAAGAAACAGTGAAGATTAAAACAATTGGTTGTTAATTTGCAAATTGACTATTCATTGTTTGGTTATCAGAATTTACTGAGATAGTCTGTAATCTTTGCTTAAATACGTCCGATTGTCCCCAACCAATGTTCTCATTCACAACATTTGGTGTCGCTGCCAACCAGAAGGAGGGAGGGTGCTGTTCTGCGGACGCCACTGCGGGTCTGGAGTTGAGGTACTAGTTGGGGCAGTCTGGTGCGGAGAATTGGCGTCGATTGGAGTGTTCTGGCGGGGTGGTCTTGGCTGTGGCGGGTGCTGTCGACGGAGAGGAGCAGTGGGACGTGCGGCTGCTGGGCGGACATTGGATTTAGATGGCTCAGCAGGCCGGTGGAGTACGGATGTTGAACGTCCCAGGTGCCGGGTGGATGCGGATGTTGGTGCTCCGGCAGGTCGACGGAGCTATGGAGGTCAGTGCGCCGCAGACTCGACATTCTGACGGAGAGCTTGGCACAGACTGCAGTGAAAGAAGATAGTGGCATGGCGAGCAGAACCACCGCACGAACGAATGCTTTAAAGGGGGGACGAGTGTGGTGTGGTCTACTTATATCCATATAAGTAGTATATGGTGAAGGTCAGACATAGAATGTAAAACGTCAAAAGTTTAATTGCTTACTCATTGAACAAATTACAAGCATAGTATTGGTTTCATTATAAAAATGTCAATATTAATTAAGGTTGTCTCATAAAGTACACTTCATTACTTCACTATTAATTAATTGGTCTCAGTTTAACTATTTACAAAATGTGGTAGAATGTAGGTTCTTAATGAATAAAGAACAATTGGTTATATTCATTCTAGTTTGAAGTGTCAATTATACATAACAAATCGATTAAATACGTGACGATAGGGGTATCAAAAGTGAATGTAACTGTGAGTGAAACTATAATTCAATTCCTGATGAATCAAAATTATCATACTGACTTCCCAAACTAATCTATAACTTCCTTCTAGATCTTAGTAGGTAAATTTTGACTTTGCTCAAATGTCGTCCATAAATCATATTCTCATCCAAATGTGAAATATCGACCGATGACTACTTCTAAGACAATATAGACTATTCTATATTCCCTTTCTTTTCCAACCCAAGAGTTTGTTGGTAAACATTTTCACATTATTGAAAGCATAATATACTTTGCAATAACCAGTACGTATATATTGATAATGGTAGTTCAATATTATCCGTCAGTAAGATTAAACTGTCGAAAAAATCTATAAATAATCAAAGTTTATTTAGAACTTCGACGAAACGAATAAAATTAACATCAATTCTGAGATGCAGATACCTCCATCTGGCTAATCCCTAATAGGACAAAACATGCATTGTGGATTTCAACACTAAACTTATATCATCTACTCAACATAGTGTAGTTATGCAAACGAATGTTGTTCTGCCAAACTAGTTATCATACTGTATTTTACAGATTACAGTTCATATCGTCACTCATCAGAAATAAAAAATTTTAATTTAAATACAATTTTTTTTTCAAATTACAGAGTATTTGTAGTGTCGGTTGATGTGTTCAGCTCATATACGTTATTCTGGCTTCTGGACAAGCCAATTTACTTATCCATCATGAATCTAATTTCTACCTTGTTAATTATTCACTTATTAATCCTAACTGTTTTTATATGAGCGTATATGTGTGTACACTTTTTATCTTATTCACCACATGTCTGTAACTTACTCTTTATCTGACTATAAATATCAATTGACGCTTTGTTAATGGGAGTTTGCTTACCCACCATCTCCAATGCTTGTCATTTTTTTTTTTGCTTCGTTCGCTGATATTTGCTCATGTGATTATAACTTTCTGACCTGAATCATTTGTCGATTAAAACTGTAGTTGCCTTCTGATTTTATGCACCATTAAGATTTGTATTATAACGGTTATCAAGGTGAACAATTCACGGCACTACATATTAGTTTATGACTTTTAGTCTGTAAATGACAGTTATGTAATGCATACTTTTGGGTCAATTTGAAATTCCTAGATTAAGTATCTCGAGTAATTATAGGCTACATTGGTTGAAATACATTGACATATATACATGTATAACCTTCATTCTACAGTAAATTAGTCAATATCTGATATTATGTATACATATTAAGTAATCAGTATGATCGTTAAAATAAATTTTCTACAAGCTCTCAATAGTAAATAATTAGCAGACGAATTGAAGACTCGCGTTTTTCCCTATTTGAGATTTATCAGTGGATATCAGCACTACAGTATAGTTTCATTCAGCTGAACAGTTCAAATTGTGAAGAAGTGCACTTAATTATTGTTTTGTGCATCTTCCAAATAGCGATTAAACCAAAAGATGACGTCAGTTTTTGAAGTCACTAACTTCTGATCTGAACCATGTTTATGGATGCACACTACTTGATCAAGGTCCACGTGACTATTTTAACCAATGGTTAGGAACTCTGATTGACATAGCTCAGAATTGATCACAATGGTGAAGGTGTATAAACTCTCTGTCTTCTTTTAAACTGTGAGATTAAAACTACTTTATTTATTTCTTCTTACGAACTAATTCTCTCTTCCTGTATTATATCCTTACACAGTATATTTCTTTCAAATATATTACTACCATTAAAACAACTGCTTCTGTGAATTTCCTGATCATCTTGTTGTGCGAATGACGTGTGACAACTTGGACGGATGCACTTATGTTCCTGATCTTAAATTGAAGTTTACTGACTGACTCAAAACTGTCACTAGTATAGAAAATAATCTCTCTCGTAAAATTCCACTTCAATACAATATATAATCATAATTATTAATTTAATAATTGTGTTATCTTTATTTTATGTACACATTAACACAGCAGGTTCACTTAGCAATTGTTACAATTTATCACCTTTAAAATGATTTACTTAGTTACTCACTCACTCGCTCATTTACTCTCGCTCACACACACACACACACACAAGCATAGAGTGAAATATGTTTTTGTCATATGGTGTAATTATGTCATATTTAATGTTAAAAAAAAAATTTTTTTCAATTTTTAACCACAGTAACAAAAATACAATCCCTCCTTTAACCAGAACTACTGACAGCAAATACTCTTTTCCATTTTTCTTTTCTCCTTCTTTTCTTCATTCAATTTTATATGATGTAGTCATGTAACTGACATCAATGTAACAAGACTAAAATGTTCATTTTTTTTTATTTTTCTAATTATGTTTTACATGAATTTTACACAAAGGATAATCCAAGAAGAAAAAATTA